AGGAGGATCGCTTGAGCCCAGGAGTTTGAGGTTGCAGTGAGCTATGATGACACCACTGCACTCTAGCCCAGGAAACAAAGTGAGACCCTGTCTCAAAAAAAAAAAAAAAAAATAGGCATGAAAAAGTAATGATGCAGCTTTAGGATGGTAGTGGTCATAATGACTGCCATGGAGTGAGTTTAACAGAGGCTGTGTTAGGCTCAGCTTCCCCAACTTGAGATTTCCTTATATCTCAGGATATTGCCTTACAAAATCACTTTTTAAGAGTTCATGCACATTTTTTAAGAATACAGAGTAAAATTGTGATGCTATTATAAGCTAGTAATTTCTTTACATAAAAAAATCTGTGCCATCTTTGCAAACTATATTTCTAACCTTAGCTAGCATTTTGCAAATGCATACAATTAGTTAATCCCAGTGGGTAATTCGAGAGGACATGCCAGTGGCTCAGGCAGCACAATCCATCACCAAGACGGGAAATCACTAGAATTGCCAGGCCTACCAATGGCTGGCAGGAGCGTCAATTTTGTGTTTGAAGGGCAATCCAAAAAATTTGATAATGTATCTGCTAAAATTAACTTCATTATCTGGCAAAACAACATTTAATATTGGAAAATTTGTAACAATTGAGAAAGTAACTATTAAAAGCATAATAACAAATCCTGCAAGGCAATCCTGTTTGTACATATATTTTTTAAATTACTTCGGGTCTTTTCATTCCTATTGCTCTACTTTTCTCATCACCTACTGATTGATTTGGTTCCACTTCCTCTGTCTCCATCAGTTTCTCTTTGCAGAAGCAACAATTCTTCTACTTTAGTTTCTTCCATATCTGAGAACTCATTACCCTCACCTTCCCCAAATCCTGGCCGTCTATTAACTTCCCTTCTGGAGAAAGAAGCCCCTTTGGTCCCTCTCTCGTTTGCACCTCCTGACCCCAGTTCTTCAAGCAAATGGTCAGTGAGCAAGCCGACCTCATCTCCTCCCACTCGGCCCCTCATTTGGTCGCCCAATGCCCTTGTGCTATCAGGATAGAAGTCCAATCTCTCTGGCAAGACCCACAAAGCCCTGATGTCGTGTCCTCTGTGTGTCTCTCCAGGTCCACCGTATCAAAGCCCAGGCTTCTGGGACAACCCACATTCACCTGTAGCTCCTTTGCTTTAGTCACTCCTACCTGGGCCTGACCCCTCTGGCGAAGCCCCAGCTGACAGAGCAAGCTGGCTTGGTGTGCAATTTCTAACTATGCTCTCCAAGTTTAGACAACTAATGGAAGAACTGGTTATAACAGAAATGTAGTTATATTTTTATTATCTCAGTGACATCTAAGACATTATATTTAAAACATTTTTGTGGGAAATCACTTTTTTCTCAATAATTTAAAACTATATGACTTCTATGTAATTATAGTGATAAGTATCTTATTCTAGTTGCGAGACATATTGGTATACAGACATTTAAAAGATGTAATAATGCTAATATGTAAAATTTTAATTCATTTATTCAAAATATGCTTAATTTTGACTATTGGACATTTTATCAAGGCTAGGACTACAGAGATATAAGAGGTAGGCTCTGCTGTCAAGGAACTCCAGTCTAGTAAAGGAGATTGATGAGGCCATAGATGGTTACAAAACAAAGCCCTGTGCTCCTAGGGGCCTAGAACCAGAGCGGGGAGAAGTGGTACGGAACCAG